TATTAAAAAAATGTTCTAAGTTGCTCTCAAAAATTAAAAAAAAAAATTACTATCAACTACTTTTTAAAATAATATAGAATCGGTCCCGAAGGTCCTCAAGATAAAGAAGTGAGTATAGTGCGTCAAGCGGTAATACCTTCCACTTGAGTACTTTAATCGCCTTTTTCTCCATACAACGTTTTTCTGTTTTAAACTGGGTGACACTTCTTTTAGTACCTATTGAACTCATCATGTCTCTCTATGGGCGCTACTATACCCAAAAATATTCATTGTTATTTAAAAAATGTATAATCAATTCAAATAGAAAAAAGGGTAAAACAACTAAAAAGTCCGTCATTTTTTTTTCGCTTTTTGTGAAAATATTTTATTGTAATTCCGGTATACATCCCCTCTTAATTGATTTTAAAGCATCCTTCTGATAGCATAAAATATTTCCACCCATTACCACGCTGTGCCCCTGAAAACTAATACGGCTATGACACTGTACAACTATAATAGGCCCTTTCTCTGCCCTCATCTCTCCTAACCATTCGATACACTATATAATGTTTCTGAAAAGATGTCTTTTTATCGTAATGTTGCCATAATTTAATGCTGGAGAAAATTAAAAGAACTGTGGACCCTGATAGGGAAGATTCAAACACTAATAAATGCAGTGAAAAGTGCTTGAGTATGCAGATGAAATTAATATCATTTCAAACTGGAGGCCAAACGGAGTGGATCCAGTAGTAAGCGATGACAAAGCGAGTTGGCTACAGTCAAAAAACAGCCCTTTCTGGTCTTGGTTCACTCATCACTCTTTGCAGTCAAGAAATTCAGTTTGCAATTGAATAATAAATATATCTTCCGACGAACCAAACGAAAAAGCCGAATACAGTAAACTATCGAATTATGAACCATGTGACGACGTTCGCTGTAGTTCAGTTCCCCTGGCTAGGTCATTTCGCCTGTATAGTCGGAAATACTTTAGCCTTGAACGTTTTCGAAACTGTACCCGCCGTTTGGAGCAGAAGAAAAAGTGCAGCTTGTAAGTAGATAATGATCAGTGTTTACATTTTCTGTCCAATCGAAGCCGAACGGAGAAAAATGGAAACACCAGATGCACTATTACTGACTCGGCTGCGATCGCGTAAGCTGTACCTGCGGCAATCAAAAAGAAGAAGAAGAAGAAGGAGACTTGAGCTCTGTTAATATAATATTTTGAAGGTTATCAAAGAGTTGTGGCTGCTGTTGTTATCATGATGGAAGCTCACAGTTTTGCGACTCGCTTCAAGTGATTACACCCTTGAAAGACTAGCACACAGAGAGCGTAATCTTCTTGTGATGACTATTGACTCATGATTGAGAGGTTTAATTATGATTTCCTATATTTTTGACGCCTTAAAATTTCATTAATTTCCTTTCTCTTCATATTCGAGAGTAAAACGTTGAGCTAATTCAGTGCCAAAGTCTCCTTCTGCTCTACTTACTTCACATATTTATTACTTTTTCATGGTTTTCTATGCTTTATTTTTCCACAGATTATTCATAGATAGAGCACAAGTTTTGGGTTTAAAATACAGTTGCTGTAGGTCCAATAAAGAAGGGCTTAAAAACAATACATTCTAGGGAAGTTTTTACAGCGGAGAGAGAGAGCAGTTGGTATTTTATTCTCTAGTTTTTTTAATAAAATATTTTTTTTCTACATTTAGAAGGATTTTGTTTTTAATTTCAATTTATTAAATATATGTATTACATAAACTACTTTTTCATGTTAAGCAACTGATATTTGATGCTTTCATAAACTCATTAGTGAGCTGCTTGCTAAGTAGTTAATTTCAGTTTGGCCTCTCACCGCAAAATTTACATATTAATGTATTTATGCATGAGTGTGCTCATAATTTTATAAACATTATATTTTATATTAAAACACACTCATACATACATATGTATACCCGTATGTACATATGCGCCCGTATTTCACGCCCATTGCGCGCTGAAAAGTAAACAAACCTGTTGTGTTAGCCGCCTGCGACAATAGCAGCAGCAAACTTCATCTTTTACCAGATATACATATGTACATATTTTGTATTTTCATATTTAATTTTTTTTCGTTTTTTATTATTTTCTTTACCATTGCGAGCGTCACAATGTTGTCATTGTCGGCCACACATATGCATGTATATATGTATGTATGCATGAATATAATGTTGAGTAAAAGTGAATTTCAAATACAATACTGTTAGCTAAAGTGGCATAAATTTAAGCTAATAAGTGTACTCATGATGTCATGCCACAATAACTAACTGTGATTTTTTGTTGTTAGTTGACATTTGCCGGAGGCTCTCGTTGACATTTTGTGACATTAATGTGCTGGTGAATTGCTGATTTTGTGAATTAAGTAGAGAAATGTCTCTAGTAAAGAGAAAAATAAAATTAAACTGGTATCACATTACAGGCATTTTTTAGATGCCGCAAATGCTGTTTTTTAATTGTTGTTTTTTCTTTTTTTTTTTGAAATTGGTAAAATGAAAAAAAGTTGCATGTGTTTAGTAAAGTTTTAGTACGGTCAGAAAAATAAAAAACTACCTCTTCGAATTGGCTATATAACACACCAAATGTTTCGAAAAAAATTAGTTGACGGAAATATCATGATTGGCATGGAATGTCCACCCCTCCGAGTGTATTTTGGTCAGGAAATAATGGCTGTTCGTAATAAAACCATAAGGCGTTCGGAGGCCGCTTAGTATAAATTGTAGGTCGCTCCATTTGTTGGAAAAACATCAGGTGCAAGATCACAAATTGGAGGAGGGGCTCGGCCGAAAAAATCGCTTCAGCGGTTACAAGAGCCAATTATATAATATACATATATTATATAACGATCTGAGTTAACTAGGAAAAATTATTATTTTAATGCAAGAAGTATAAATTTGCCTTTTATGTATTGTTGTAAATCTTTTTTTTTTTCAAATCTACCAAGAAATTTATGTGTTTTTCTAACAAATTTAGAACAATAAAAAGTGAAACAAACACACACTGAAATTTTTTTAAATTTCAATTTAGGAATTCTAGTGGCAGCTGTGATTTGTTGTGAATGACATTCACACAAAAGACTAAACAATAAATTCTGAAAAGCTAGAAAAAAATATTTATTCTTTGTATTTTAACAAAATAATTCAATAAATATATATAATTTAGAATGAAAAAGGTTGAGGTAAACAAAGCTTGCCACATGTTGCATCTGTCAAGCGCTTGGGTCATTCATGCAAATGTATAAGACCAGCGGAATGATGTAAATTTATGGCAGCATTTTTTAAGCAAATTCATAAATTTATATATACATTACTAAGTAAACATACACATGTACATTTAACTGTATGTGGTATACATTGGCCTTATTTATGATTTCCATTTCATTTTTGGCGTAAGAGTAGAAAAATAATAAACCTAAAAGATTTAAACAAAAACAAACTTATTTTTTTTTTGCTTTTCTGCTCACATCAAACCATGGTATTTATTCTATTTTATTTGATTTTTTTTATTTTGCTCTTCTATCCATAACTATCTATAGTATTTCATCTTATATCTTTAATTTTGGTAGACATGAAAAACGATTTTAGTTTTTCTTGCTTTCGACGCCAATTTCCAAATGGAAAACTCATTCGGCTATATTTACTTTACATACTTATTGTTTTTGTTTAATTTATTGTCCCAGCGCTGGTAAACTTTTTTGTTTAGTCAATAATTTTTGCTTGTTTGTGACAGTCGAGCTGATGGCGAGCAGTTGTGGGTGCCTAGCAAAAGCATTTGAGTGCACATGCGAATCGCTCATCATTTTTCTTCTTTTATTTTCCACACATTTTTCCCACCAGCGAACGAAAAGATCGCTATTTTGGCATATGCATGTGTAAAGATACAAACAAAGTGGGCTAAAAGCCTAAAATTCATAGCTGCGTCGCAACGTGTTCCAAATAAACTAATTAGCCGCTCTCGATGTAATGGCAAAGAAAAGAAAATTTAAATTTATGTAACTCGTATTGTATGAGAACACATGGCGAGTCAGAGAAAATAATAAATTTTTTTAAAATTTGTCATTTTCTGTCTTTGAAAAACGATCTAATTTTTCTTAATAAATCGTGATTTAAAACTATTTTTAAGGCAATTTTTTTAAATTTGTTTGTTTTCCTGCGATATTTATGCTTTTAATAAGTCGCTATTAAAATAATATAATTTATTTAGTTTTCTTAATTGAAATATTAAAAGAACATGAACCGTTATATTCCGATGTAATAATGGAGCTTTTTCAATCACTACCAAGAAATGTTTCACAAAGCATAAAATATTTTTTTGTGAATTTTAATATGAAATAAACTTTATCCCAAGTATATAGTTAAAAAATACAAATTTTTAGAGGTATTCACTCATTCGAGGAAATGCGTGTTATTGAAAAATTTTCTACGAAAATTTGATAGAGAACCAGAACATCTCCGTTGCATGGCTGTGTCAAATTCAATTCAATAAGCTGATATGACAATCTAAAAAAATTAAAAAATTATGAAAATAAAATTAATAATAAGAATTTGTATAACTGAATGCCTTGCACCTCTGAAAATTGACTACTATTTGCTTGGAGTTTGAAATATTTATTTTTATAGTTTTTTTTTTCAAAAAAAAAAAAAAAAAAAAATATGGTTGTTTTTTGAAACCATAGAGAATCGGACAAAACTTAAAGAATGTTAAATAAATTTTGCGCTTTTCTTGGTACTTTAATATTGGTTCTTTAAAATGATATGCAAAATATGATATTTAAGTTTGGAGACCAAAATAAAAATTACATTTTTAATTACTTTTATTCTATTATAATTACTAAATAGTTCATATTATCCAATTTTATATTTCCATTTATATGTCATCATTTATCTCTAAGATAATGATAGGAACACCTTTAAAATTTTTGCTGCAACTAAAGGGTTTGATTTTTTTTTACTAATTTTGTTAATTTCTTTCTCTTTCTCTTGCAGGTCCTTGCACTGTCTCCAACTCCAGCCACAAAAAGGTATTGAATCAATTTTCCTGCCGAAATCGCGTGCTGATTACTCGGCTGCGTGTTTGTGATCTATAAATTTAGAAAATTTTCACAGCTAAAAGCACGCATGTGCATTATGTATAGTTGTATGTGCGTTTCAAATGCATAAGCTCACATAGCGCTATAAATAATTACACACACACACGCAGCAGTAAAAAAAAGACACGTTGTGTGTGCTATTTATGTGGCTTACCTGCTGATGTGGCAAAATTGTAGTATTAAACAGTGTTGAGATAAATAAGCAACAATAAAAGAGTTTAAGGCGTTTTTTGTTTGAAAAAATCCCAGCATGAGAAACTTTGAAGCAATGGAGTAGATCCAACAGGAGGTGTTTTTTTTTTTGATATTTAAAGAAAAATTTCATGTTTTGGGATAAACGATCGGGTGTTTATTTCAATGTAAATATGAAAATCTGTCATTAACCACGAAAAACAATAACAGCTTAACGGCAGCCACGGCTAATATGAAATTCCATTCCATAACCACATATCAAAGTGGCTGCTGCTGAATGCCCTCAACAGCTCATGAATTCCATCATCGAGGCTTTGAATCGATGTTGGCTTGTTGACGTAGATCTAATCTTTGTCCTGACTCCAAGAGAAGAAGACGCAAAGGAAAAATTCGCAATTTTTAAACCTATTCGATAGATATCACGGTCCGAAAACACTTTTCCTTTAAAATATCTCTGGTTTCGTTGGTTGTGTGGGTAAAAGTAAATGTTATCTAGATATATACCATAAAATTCCGGGATCACAAAAGATCATTGACCATATCTCCATACGACAATCCATTAACCGTGACTGGTGCGCCAGCGTCAGTTTCGAAAAAGTAAGTTTCCATGATACCGTCGGACCGTAAATCGCACAAATGGCACGTTACGGATGGAGTTGCTTTTCACCAATAGATCTTGGCTTTTCCGAGTCCCAGAAGCCACAGTTTTGCTTATTGAGGTTGAGATGACTTTTCGATGAAATTACAAATTATTTTCATGCCTTTCAAGGAGCTCATCAGCAAAGTCACTACGTTATTGATGATTGGCCGGCTTAAGTTTTTGGGTTAACTCAACTTTATAAGCCTTAAGATATTGTAATAATGTTTGACTGTGTATTCTTCAAGATTTTGGGCTTCAGCAGCAATATTTTCAGCTGTTATTGAGCTATTTGCACGTGTTTTATTCTTTACATCTTTGACTTGTCCCAAAAGTTTCCTTCCACCGATTTCTGTATTGCGGCCCAACAAGATGCTTCACGACGACGACGAAAGACGGTTCTGCCAGGTGTTCACTATTTTTATAGGGAATTTTAATGATTTCAAGGAGTTTTTGAAATGCGTATCGTTCCATTTCTATTACAGGCGTAAATGTTAAAAAATTATAGATGTAATAGTGGAATAGCGGACTATGCAAAAGAACACCTTTAATGGGAAATAAATTGGAGATAAAAAAAAATTATTAAATAAATAATTATTAATTAAAAATTATACACAAAATATAAATTAAAGGTATTATGAAAATCATAAATAATAATTGATTTTATTTTTGGGCCCTAAAATATATACAAAAAAAGTCTATAATAATTACTTATATATTGGAAAAATTAATCAGGGTAAAAGTTTGATTCCAAGTAATCGTATTTTCATCTGAAAAGTAGTACTTAAATGCAATAGTTAACTGTAATGTAAGAGCATTCCTCACCGGTCACCGACAGTTTGAAATTATGATTTATGAAGATTTTGCGTTTTGATAACTAGTGCTCTTTAGTACTCTTCCATCCTTAAGAAACATTAACCTCACAGGCAATATATGACACATTAGGTCACACTTCAAACACCCATTCTTCTATTTTTCCATTGACACTTCATTAGTTCACCCTTTGATAAATGCCATAATTATTATTATTATTTTTATTTTTGTTTTTATTTTTATTTTTTAGCCGGCTTTCTAATTAATTGACAGCAATATAGCAGGCATATGTAGATGCATTCGATGGTCTATAAAGATAGCTAGTTGCTAGGTTGTGCAATATAATAATATTTATTTATAAATACTTATAAAAAACCACTTACTTACATACATGGTTACATATATGCAGAGCTGTGTTAGCGACTGCTTAGTTAAAGTTCACTGTGGTCCTAAGGTGTGTCGCTTGTCTTCACGCATGACTTAGGTGGCGCTATGAACTGCCACCGCATATTACAAGCAAATATACCTTACATACATATGTGTATGAAAATATATGTATGTAAAATGTACGTATTTACACTTGTATGTACATTGGTTTAAATTCTGTAACTCGTTACGCGCATATAATAGTTCTGATTTATTTATTTATTGTATAATTTTTATACACAAATATTTTTTGTAAATATGTATTTGCGTTCAGTGTGTCTGTACCTATGTGCATTTGATTGACTGTTGACTGTCGTTGATTGGCAGCACGAGTTTCTGTTTCGCTCCAAGTGAGTTTTTGGTATTTAGGGCAGAAATTTGCTGGAAAGAAATTTATGGAGATCACAGCTGTTGGCGTAGGAAATACAAAAACAAGTAAATATCTTTTGGCAATAATAACTGAAGGTACTGTCGAGTAATGTGAATTCCAGGCAATTTTCATTTCGTTCACATATTTTGCTGAAAAAAAATTAATTCCCCGTTACTCTGAAACTTATTTTTGTACATTTATTTTCCCATAATTGCAGAAGTAAAAATTGTAATAATCCCCGTCCTACATTAGTACTTTTTTTTTGCTCTTGGAAGTATAGTGAAATGATTTGAGTATTGTCAAAGTAACTTTCTTTAAAGTTATTATATATAATTGCATTAGATTTTAAACGGCTCTAGTGAGAAGTAAACCATTACTTTTACAGTATATTGAAGGTTTTTTTTCCATAGCTAGAATTAACCGATTTATGGCAAATATGCACCGTTAAGGGTCGCTTTGGGTCTCTCTAGAAACCCTTGTCCTTATTGGCAAAATATTGGGCCAATCGATTTTCGCAGGTTTCTTTTGATTTTAATTATTCATCATCCAAATCATGCGGCATATACAAGAACAGTTGATAATCAACTGGTGCGACGTCCAGCTTATAAGGTGAAACCAAGCTCTCGTAGCTTCTGGCTATTCACTACTACGATGTGTGTGGCCTGACATTTCGTAATGTAATGCGATTCCCCACCTGTGGGCAAAAGCTGGACGTTTCTGGGCGATTGATTCCTTCAGACGGTCCAACGGTTGACAGTATAATTTCGAATTAGATGTTGGGTTGTAGTGGTGCAGTTCTTTTTCAAAATCTTTCAGGCTGTCAAATCTCATTTGGTTACCGTTTATGGTGGCTCACTGCTCTATGGTCATGACTGGTTTTAATTAAGGTTTGCTGTAAGTGATACACCTTCCATCACCAGTCACCATCCGATTGTGTTACGATTCAGTGACGATTCGCAAATGGAAATTTAGTTCATAAAATTTTTTCTCATTAACACATGTGGTACCCATATACTCGATATATAGAGCTCAAGTGGTTCCAAACAATTTTATGTACAGTGCTTAGCTTCTGTACCATCGAGACAGTGCTCGCAAGACAGTCAGACTCAAGGATTTCAATTTTCCTAAATATGGTCTAAAAGAAATTTAAAATTTTTAAAGGTCACTAAAAGGTTTTATCTATTCTAAGCATTATTTTTTTCTGCAATTTTTCTTTTTTTAATTTTTAAAATAAAATATATTTAAGACTTAGACAGCAAATTTGGAAAGGAATAAATATTAATATTTTTTTTTTTGTAAAGTGTGAAATGATTTCATTTTCACTCATAAATTAACACCTTATTCTATTTAATAATTTTTGGTTGTTCAACTTCTCTGCTACATTTAAATATTCTTTATTAAGATGTGCCTGGAATAAATTTGTATGTATAAAATATAACAAAAAATTCACTGAATTCCACAGCAATTAGTTAGACACTGGTTCGTTGTCGTTAGATACAGTAAATGCTGTAGAAATTTATTTTATTTACTTTATTTCTAGCTTTAAATTATTCATACTTTTATTTATTATTAATTAGACAAAAAAAGGAGCATACATACGTACGTGTGATTCAATTGATTGAATGAGTAATTTTGAAAATAAATTTGAATTATGACAATATGCTCATAAAATCAGCAAGCCGTGAATGAATGAGTGAATATTATAGGGTCATAAATTTCGCGGTTCCGAAAACAAACGTACATTAAGTGCATTTAAAATAAGCTTTTTGTGATGCTCACTTTTTTATTATAAAGTTTTACACCTTGACATCATTCGAATGACCACCTCGCGAAGACTTGCAAGCTTCGATCCGCTTAAGGTAATTTTCGGTCCCTTCTTTGTACAGCCACAACTATTTGGTTCGAATATTGCTTTTCAAGAGTTCAACGTTTATTCTCCTAAATACCTGCTTTTGCCCAGGCTCACAAAAAAATTTCAACGGTGTCAAATCGCACGATCTCGGTGGTCAAAAGATTTCGCGAAGAGGGAAAAATATGCGGCCGGGCAATTTTGTGTGGCAAGTGGCACCATCTTGTTGAAAGTTGCTTATAATACGACCCTTACGCAGCGAACTATCGGAGCCCACAATGTTAGAATTTTGCGTATTTCTTTTTGTCCCGCGTGAGAAATGAGCCGCCTCACCGTTGAAAATTTTTTTTTTTTTTTTTTTTTTTGAAAAACCGCCGTTCACTGTGGCTTCTGTCCGCAGTCCGACTTTCAATGATCAGCATCACTGGGGTAGCGCTATAGGCGCTTGAACACCCTAATAGACTGCCTAGTCCCGCGTCTGGCTTCCTGTTGTCAGCTATAATAGAGGTGAATAGCTGGAGCAGACAAAGGTCTTCATAATTGTACAGATGGTTCTAAAAGTAATGGAGAAAGTCTTGGAAATATTTGCTATAAAAATTGCGACATACCTTCTGCAGATTCTCTCGAAAGAATAAAACCGATCA